TGTGTGTATGGTTAGTTGGATCTGACTGGTACAGGAGAGCATCTGGTGGATTCAAACTGCCTGCCTCTGGGATTGCAGTGCAGCCACCTGCCACTAGGCTACCAAAACTCAAAAGCTTGTGTTTCTAATAATATATCTTAAGTAATGATTATAGAAAAGAGTATGAGATTGGATGCAAAAATTAGTGAGGAAGGGAGAGAAATATTAATTTGGCTAAGTGAGTGGTGGGAGCTCGAGAATTGAGTTTGGCTAATTGAGTTGTGGTGTTAGAGAAGAGTACTGAATATTCCAGGGACTGACAAAAACTCAAACAGATATGTCTTGGAGAAGGTGCAAGCAGGATACTCCTTAGAGGCAAGGGTGACATCTCATCATTGAGGCAAGCTTCATCTCACATACTTTGGGCATATTAAGAGGGGCCTAGTTATTGGAAAAGCACATCCTATCTGGAAAGGTGGATGGTAGATAGGTGAAAGAGAGGAAGACCTGCACCAAAATGGATTGACACCATGACTGTAATAATGGGCTTAAGTATATCAGAGATGATGAGAGGGCAGGGCTTAGATTCATTTTTCATGGGTTCGATATGTAGAGTCAGAGTCACATAACAACAACGGCACAGAACAACGTCGGGAATGGTGGGAATCCCTAGGGGGTTGACCTGCTAACCCGAAAGTGAAGCCTCTGGCAGCCTGAGTCCGCTGGCGGCTCCACAGGAGACAGATGGCCAGCTTTTTCCCTTGTAGTTTACAGCTTCCTGAAAACCTACCTGGGTGTGTGTGTGTGTGTGTGTGTGTGTGTGTGTGTGTGTGTGTCAGTGTCAGCTGGGCCTCCTCTAACTTGAGGGCAGTTAGTGAGTAAGTGTGAAGTGAATGGTGGAAAGAGAAATGAGAACCTTTTGTGTTTTTCCATCTTCCTAAAATTTTTTTGAAGTTTAGCATTTATGTGGAAAAGTACACAAATCATACACCTTTGTACCCAGTTTTTTAAAAATTTTATTTTATATTTGTTTACTTAACCTTTGTAACCAGTTTTATGAACATAAACCTTTATACTAGACACCTCACAACCAGACCCCAAGTTAAGAAGCCGAGTGTTACTAATTCTTCAGAAGCCCACTTCTCAGTTAATGTCCCTGACAAAAGTATCCACTGTTTGACTTCTAAATAATTAATATGACCTAAAGTTTTGTACAGTTATAACCATACAGTACATACCCTTTTATGTCTGACAACTCTTGTGGAAATTAGCAATGTCATTAACATCACATGTAAGTAACATCTTTCTGAAGAGTATTGAAAAATGGCTAAAACCATACATTGAGAGGGAACTGCCAGAAATCAAGCTGAATTCAGAAGAGACCGTGACATAAGATATCTGAGCAAGGATATCTAAGTTTAAAGAATTAGGTAAAACTGTTCCAAGTCATGATATTTTCAGTTACCTCCTATGCATCTGAAAGTTGAACAGTGAATAAGGATGAAAATCGATGTCTTTGAATTGTGGTGTTGGAGAAAAGTACTGAATATCCATTGCCCCCAAAACACTAAAATCTGCCTTGGAGTTGCAACTTCCTAGAGGTAAGGATTGTGAAACTCTGTCTCTTATACTTTGGGAATGTTTTCAGGAAAGGCCAATTCTTGGAAAAAAAGACATGCTCATAAAGGTGGAGCATTAGAGAAAGACTCTCGGGGAGCTCTGGTGGCCTAGTGGCAAGAAGCTGCACTGCAATCCCAGAGGAACACGGTTCGAATCCACCAGACGCTCTGCCGGAGAAGGAGGCGCAATATCCTCCTGTACCAGTCAGATCTGATTTGACGGTACATGCACACAAA